GATGATGAGGCGACTGCTGATGATGCTCCAATCATTTGGCGCTCAGGCGCTTAACGATTGGCTTTCTTTCGCAGCTGGAGAATGAGGTATGAGGAATGAGGCACAAAGCAGGGGGAAGTCAAAGAAAGCAAGCTAACACACACGCACACATGCATACACCAAAATGTGCAAAAAGGCAGCTCAAATAAATAAGCGCAGAATACAGAACTGGTTGCTCTCTGCGCTGGCGTAGCGTGCAGATACATAAGTATCTGCAAGATACATACATACACACATATACATAGACCGCTGGTCAGTTGGTGTTTGGGCAAAAAAAAAAAAAAAAGAACTAAAATGGAAATGGCCAGGAAGCAGCGCATAAAACATAATACTGCTGATGCCTAGGGTCTAGCCAACTCACGTTGTCTCTCTATCTCTATCTCTGTCTCTCGCTTAATTAGCTTAACCGTTATTACACTTATTAAATGATTATTTCACTTTTATTCACGCGCAAAAAACCAACCAAGTTCGACTATGACGCCAGGCAAAAAACTCGATTCTCGTTCCGAATATATATTTTGTTGCTTTACTTTTTGCGCTTGTTTTTTTTTTTGTCGTTGGTTTTTGTTTCTCTGCCGACTGTTTCCGACGAATTTTTGAACCGCAGCAACGTCTTAACGACGCGACGCTCGCTCACCTTCTGTCGATCTGGCCGTCTTACCTGTTGCTGTTACTGGCTGCTGCTGGCGTCCTTTGCTGGCCAACGGCGTGCGTGATTCGGCCAACCAGTGGTAAATACTGGTTTCGTGCCTGTCGCCGGTTTTGTTTTGATACACATTTCGCGCATGCGCAAAACGAGTGGCAATGAAATATGCGCTAGTGTGTACACACTTGGCGTTGGGAATTTTATGAAGCTAATTTTCTGCGACAGCCCAAAAGTATGCTACACATTTTTGTTATTCAATGAGAAATTCAAGAGGTGAAACATTTAAAGTCCAATTAAGAAAAAACAACTTGTCCAGTTGGAAAATGGAAAGAAAAAATTGAATTTAAAAAGCAAAAAAAAATTGAGCAGAAATTTTATATTATATGCAAATCAAAAAGAATTTTCCATTCGAAATCGATGAATAAATAATGTTGAAAGTTCAGCCCAGTTCGCCTAAATATATTTTAAGGTAAAGGGAATTCTGACTCAATACAGACCTCCCTCCTTTTTTCTCTCTCTCACTCTCTCTCTCTCTCTCTCTCTTTATCTCTCTCTATCTCTCTCTCTCTCTCTCTCTCTCTCTCTCTCTATCTCTCTCTCTCCCTCTCTCTCTCTCCCTGTCTCTCTCTCTCTCAAAAACTAGACTTTTCATGAACCAACTCTCGTTTTGATATAAACACTAAAAATATTTAATGTATTTATTACATGCATATTGTTATTTAGATAAGTCCTACAACTAGAACGATTTAGAGCGCATCATCCACCTGGAACTGTATCAGATCCTCAACGGGAAAGCGAAAGAGCGAAGCTGTTTGCGCCTCGGCAGCCAGTTGATCGATGTGGGGATTCTTGTGATAGCGCATATGCTCGCCTTGAACGCTGTAACGTCCTCCATGATTGGAGGACAGAGCTGGGTGGCCGGTGAATGCAGCAGGTTGTGGTAATTGGGGCGGCTGCGGCACCTCGGCTGCGACAATGGGATGCTCGAAGTCAATGAGCGAGAGATTGTCGCTGCGTGAAATCGGATGATTTACAGGTTGTTGTTGTTGTTGTTGTTGTTGAGTGTGGTTCTGCTGTTGCTGTTGTTGTTGCTGCTGTTGCTGCTGTTGCTGTTGCTGCTGTTGCTGCTGCTGTTGCTGCTGCTGCTGTTGCTGCTGTTGCTGCTGTTGTTGCTGTTGCTGCTGTTGCTGTTGTTGCTGCTGTTGCTGTTGTTGTTGCTGTTGCTGCTGCTGCTGCTGCTGTGACTGTGTGGCAGCAGCCTGCCGTGGCTCAACGGGACTCGGTGGCTTGGGCAGTGGCTGATCCCGTTCGCTGGCGCTGAAAGTATTGCGCTGCAAGCCCGAAAAGTTGTGATTGTAAAAGGGATTTGTGGAGGCGCGCACCACGGGCGAAGGCTTCTGCTTGGGAAAGACATTCAGATGGAGCATTATCTGATTGCTGCTGCTCTCCACGGCTCCACTATTGGCATTGCCGTTGCTGCTGCTCACAGCTGGGCCATAGACGCAGTCATCGTTCTGCTGAGCCTGCGGCGCATACTTGCCGGCCTGATAGACTGCCTGCTGCTGGCTGTAGCGTATGGACTGATCGGGAAAGATCATCGGCAGGTGGCTGGGCGGCTGCGTGGGGAACTTGAAGGGCGTCTGGTAGAGACTCTGCTGCAGCTGCGGCTGCGCGTAGATGGAGCCAGGCGAGGCAGCCAGCGCACCGGCTGTGGGCACTGCGTAGTCGCTCGGATAGGGACTGCGGAGCACGGACGTGGGTCTGGAGGGTGGCAGCACCGGATAGATGTCCAGGTTCACCTTGAAAGGAATGCGCTTGTGCTGCGGCTGGCGCGTCGCATTCAGCGCTATGATGGGCGGAAAGCTCTGCAGAAAGGGATCGACCAAGTAGTGTTGCTGGCTGCCGTGCTCCAGCAGCATGTTGTTGTAGTTGCTCTGCTCCTGCTGTTGCTTCTGCTGCTTCTTGTGCTTCTTCTTGGAGCTGGGCTTGCTGGCTGGCGCCTGCTGCAGGGCCAGCAAGTTGATGTCCTGTGGCGAGCGCGGCTTATACGGATACAGCTGCTCGATGGCTACGCGCTGATGCGGCGCACCTGGGTACAGGGGCATCGGCACGCCCATGGGAAACATGGGCAGCGGAATGCTGAACTGCATCTGCTTCTTGCCGCGCTTGCCCCGAAAGAAGTTGGCTATGCCACTGGACTTGAGGTTCTTGTAGCTGCCCGCAATGTGCAGCCCCGTGGGCATCATGACCAGGCCGGGCATCTTGCTGGGCAGCGGATTGTTGATGTGCATGTTGTGCAAGATGTCCTGGATGTTGTTCAGGCGCTCCGCCTCGCCCTTCTTGAACTGCTCCGGCAGCGGACCGTCGAAGGGAAAGTGAAACGGCTTCGGCTTGAAATCATCGCGCATGGCCAGCGTGCCTGGCGTCTCGGAGTATTGGCGCCTCAGCAACGCCGCCGCCGCCGCCGATGAGGGCGGCCGCTGCGTGGAGAGGCGCGGTGGGCGGGGCAGCTGATCGCGCAAAACATCACGCAGCGGCGTCATGGTGACGGCTCGCTTAGGCAGCCGCTCATACAGATGATTATCGCCAGCGTCGCCATCATCAGGCGTTGCGTGCTGCAGCCCGTTGCCGCTGCTGCTGACGCCTGGCGGCTGGGGTCGTCTCGCTTTCGTGCGCCATGTACCGTAAATGGGCGCAACATCGTCGGCACGCTCCAATAAGTAGGCAGTTTCGCCAGCACCACCACCAACACCACCACCAGTGCCACTCTCCACCTCCAGATCCTCCACATCGTTGGCGTGCAGGTGGAGCTGCTGTTGCATTTGCTGGAGATGCAGCTGCATCTGCTGCTGCTGCAGACGATATTGCTGCTGCTGCTCGTGCTGCAATTGCTGTAACTTGGCACGCATCTTCTCAATGTTTAAACGTTCCGCCACTTGACTCGAGCTGTCGTCACTTTCAGTGCTGGGCGTTGTCTCCGACAGCGTCTGGCCCTCAATCTGGTTGAGTAACTGCTGCTGCTGCTGCTGTTGCTGCTGCTGCTGTTGATATAAGGCTGCTGTTGATGCGACCTTGACGACCATAAGAGACATCTGTAAAATGGAAAGTTTTATTCGCTCTGCACTGATCTAATAGCACTCGTCTCACAATTGTGTACACATAGAGCAGGCCCATAATCCGTGGCCAGCGGCCGCTATTAGCCTTTTGCTTTGCGCCGCCTTTGGCAGGATGTGGATCCCGCTGCGATTTATCGTTTGACTCGGGCTCCGGCTGCACTCTTGGCTTTCTAAACATTGTTCACAGTAAAAATTGTTGATATCGGTATCTGTTGGCGCACCGGACGCGACTTCCTCATCGCGAATCGCAAAGACGACTGCTTGCAGCTCCGGCCAAGCAGCCCCTAAAAAACTTGCGGCTGCACTTCGGCAGCTAATTAGAAAGTTTAACATACGAAAGCAAAAAAATAGACAAATAAATTAATTGCCTAAATGATTTCGTGCGCCCGATCTCTGGGTGGAAAAGAAAATGAGATACTTCCAACGCAGCCACCATGAACAGCACAAGATCGCGCCGCGCCATGCACGCGATAAAGAATTCAAAACGAGAAACAATTGCTTAGCCGAAGTGTCTAAAACTCTGCTCGATTGAGTGCAAAGTCAAGCTGAATAAAGTAATTATCGAATTTAAATTGTTTTAAGGCTAATTAAACAACATTTGACACTAGCGCAAAAGTTGATATTGCGACAGATGAACTGAAATTGTTGATGAAACTAATTTACTTGAATATTTATATAACATAGATAAAGGAGATGAGCTTCCATTTACAACTATAACATAGCAGAGCACCTGGTAAAATATTCAAAAATATTGTAAGACCTTGTCATAACAATACTAAACCAATTATGCTCATCATCATTAAATACATCAACATGCATAGCTATCATGATGAGATCATATCAAGTCAGCGTTAACATCCTTCTACAAACATCCTAATATATCTGATCATGCATCCCTATATATAATCATCATCATGCAATGCTCATCATCATTTTAGGCCTCTTAATTTCGAGTCACGTCTTATTCCATTCATCACGTCCAATACAAACCTTTCGTTACAGTCATACGATCCACACTCTTGAAGTTACAACCTCACGCGAGTTTTATCTGCTCTTAGCATATCTATAGAAAAAATAAGTTATTTACTAATAATAATAACAATAGCAAGCGCTGAAAACACTTCCCGTTGTCCAATTGAATATGCATTGAAACCACATTTAATAAACCCAGTTTTTGGTTGGGTCTGCACAAATGATTATAAATGGTGTTTGTTTTCATTTTATTTGAACATAGAGCTAAATAGTCTTGAGACGGGAGACATAAAACATAGCAAGAGAGCGTATTATAGTACATATTTAAGAAGTTTACAAAAAGTTAGATACATATACAGTGATCCCTAATTGTATGAGTATGCGATTCATTAATTCATAAAAACAAACAAGTTGAATTCTTGCTGACGCTTCAGTGGTATCGCAATTTGGAGCACCCTCATGAAACGCTGTAAAAATCTTTTCGACTGCATTGACTAGATGTATCTAGCCCTATAGATATGGTTGGCATTTGCATTGCTAGATATATTTAGAGAGCATCAGTTATTGCATCCCCTCCCTCAGACGATAATATTTCAATTAAAATGAAATGATATGTCACCCATCTGCCTTTCGAGCGTCGTTGAATTCATCGACGGCTATAACTGTGCTGCTGTGCGGGTGCTTAAAAGTCAAAGGGAATGCTGGGCTTAGGATAATCGTAGCCCACGCGCTTGGTCGTCGGCGGTGCTGTCACAATAGTCCTGGTGGTCCTAGGGGTCGTTATCCTCTGGGTGGTAATTATTATTGGAGTCGTACGGGTTGGCGGAGGTGTTACTTTACGGGTGGTCGATGGAGGCAAGTACGTGGTTGGTGGACGGGTGATAGGTGGACGAGTGGTAGTCGCACGAGTTGGCGGAGGTGTTGGCTTACGGGTGGTAATAATTACTGGGGGTTGGGGCTTATTTGTAGGAGGCAAGTAGGTTGGTCCTACAGTACTGGGTGTGGGCCTACGGGTAACCGGTGTGGTTATTACCTTACGGGTAGTCGTTGTTGGCCTAGGGGTAGTCGTTGTTGGCCTACGGGTAGTCGTTGTTGTCCTACGGGTGGTCGATGGAGGCAAGTATGTGGTTGGTGGACGAGTGATAGGTGGACGAGTGGTAGTCGCACGAGTTGGCGGAGGTGTTGGCTTACGGGTGGTAATAATTACTGGGGGTTGGGGCTTATTTGTAGGAGGCAAATAGGTTGGTCCTACAGTACTGGG